ATGCATCGATGTTTGCATACCTAACAGTGCTAATACTGTATGGCATTCTGCAGGTTCTACAGCACCCTGGTTGAGAATTACTGCTGCAGTGTCTATAAGTCTTGGGAAAATGGGGCTCTGGGCAAACTTGTATTTTGGCACGCCCTCTCCAAGTTAGCGGTGTTGCTGTAGGTAGAGGCAAAGGTAGGGGGCAGGGGCATGGAGCACAGTCCGGGAGGTGAGGGGGGAGGTAGAACAGCCATGGTGTGCCAGGCAGGTGGGCAGGCAAGCACTGGTGCTGCTGTGTTGGAGCAAGGTGGGTGGACTGGAGCAGATGCTACTCTGCCCATGCTATCTAGCTCAGCTCCTCCTGGGCAGTGGCTGGAAGTGGCAGGGCATGGGCTGGGCTGGGCACTGCTCCTCCTGCCTGCGGTGGGGACCAGCGGGGGTGGAGAAGGGGGAGAGTGCTGCTGCAAGTGTGAGCTGCTCACACGTGTGTGTGCGTTTGGTGCCCCCCTGACCATGGCAGTCATCCATGTCACCCACCCCTAAGGCTGTCTCTACCTATGGATAAAAGAGGCAAGAGACAGGCCTACAGCTCAACCTTTTATTGCTTTATCCCAAGACAGCAAAACCAGCATCTATCCTAAAGTCTACCAGGCTACTTGTGACAGCACAACATATAGAACACACACCTATACCAGTTAAGGAGACCTTAGGGGTGCAGACCTGGGTGACATGCAGATTGGCCACAGGTCTTCTTGAATTTGCTGATCAGGTAATTGCTAAATAAGGCTTTTTTGGATTGCAAAATTGGATCTAGCATCCTAAAATCTAGTCTACTTAAGATCTTTTTTTGTAGGCCTGGACCTTGAGATTGATCCAAAGCCCATTGGAATTAAAGACATCTGTGAGGAAATGGTTTTAGCTGCAAGAGTTTGGTTTGTTCCATTGTGGAGAAAGAGGTCAATGGAAAAACTTGGATCACAATCTGCATCTGTACTGGCCCAAAGTTCAATGGTGAGGTGTGAAGGCTAGGATCTAGAGTTTTGTTTGAGACCCATCTCAACTGATAATGTCTATATGGTACATAGGAAATGTGAAATGCAATATAAATGCAAGTGTACTCCTATCCTATGTAGTTTATTTCAAATTCTGTAGATTGCAATACTGTAAACAGAGCACAAGATAGTGGTTGCAGTCTAAATGCAGAGCACTTATTTCATATTGACTGATAAAATGGATTTTGCCCATGGTGAGTGACACAACTAGTGCTGTGAGACACTGGCTGAGGCTGCAGTGTCCAGATACAATGGGACTAAAATCCTGAGGCTAACTCCTGTAGATTTGCCACAAAGCACGTGTGCTTTTATGTATTTATAGTTGTAACTTAATTGATACATGAATGGTTCCTTTTAAACATCTTTCATCTCTAAAAAACAATACAGAAGAAATCTTAGGAAAAGAGAGGCATCTAGTAGTGCTCAAAGTTTTGGCCCCGTGGGCAAGATGAAGGGTGCAGGCATGGTCTGCAGGCTGGACTGGACTCTGTCTGCCAGGATCAGGACTCATATCACCTCCTCCCATGAGCTGGGATAAGGCCCTGTATGGCCCTACATGCCCAATCTAGCATGCAGCGCCATAGCTTACAGGACCGACCACTTACTCGTGGGAAGCTCTGTGAACTGGATGACCCAGAACCAGGGACTGGATCTGGCCCATGTGCAGGGAGTTGAGTCTGGTCAACATATATGCCTTTCTTAAATGTGTGGATCTTCTTGGCTGGGGCCTTCTAAATAGTTTGGTAAATGCAAATTTTCTGACTAGTTGGAAGACTGACAGTTATACCAGCCTGACAGTCTGTACTTGTGCAGAGTAGGCACTTCAAATGCAAAGCCTTACAATTCCCAATTAAATATATTCTATGCAAATAAAGGCAGAAACTGAGCTGCAGACACAAACCTAGGTGCATTGGCTTTTGCTGATGTATATGAACACCTGGGTTGTTTGGTGGGATTGGTACCTTGTTTGTGCTGCAGTCTGTTCATGAGTAACAGGAACTGATGCCATCTGTTTGTGCTGCTTTTATGCCCTGTCTCCATATTTCGAAACACTGAATCCATCACCTCAGTACATGACACTGTAGCCAAATAGCAGTAAGACTACAGATCACTAAAGTCTAATCTCACGTTCAAATTGGTATTCCATTTCTGTTTCTCCATTGTCCATCTATCAGATAATAGAAAGAAATGGACATTACATCAACAGAACAAGAACACCCATGGCTGGGGGCCCTAGGCATTATGATAACACGATAAACTTCGTTTTAACGCAATAAACTTCTTTTGTCTTTGCAAACAGGAAATCAAACTATTCAAGCATCAAAGGCCAAATTTCACTTTTTTGACACCTACAGTTGAGTTACACGGGGTTCAGGGAAGAGCTGGATCTGGCTGGGGGCTGCCTCCAAGCTGGCGCAGCCCCTGCCCACTAGCAGCGCACCTGGGCGACCCCAGGGTGTGCTGCCACCGCAGAGGGAAGGACCGGGGTCCCCCACAGTTCAGGTACTACTTGGCCCAGTGGCAGCCCACCCCCAGCTGCAGGGGAGGTGGGCAGGCTCCATTGAGGAGAAAAAAGGATCAGGCCCCTCACTGCTTCTGCCTTCAGCAGGTGACTGCTGAAGCCAGTGAGGGGCCTGATTTTTGTTTTTTGGTGGAGCCTGCCCATGGCCAGGGGGAGCTGCTGGTGGGCTGAGCTGTGGGGGGCCCCAACCCTTCCCCCCATGGTGGCGGCACCCCCCCAGGGCTACCTGAGTGGGCTGCTAGTGGGTGGGTGCTGCCCCAGCTCAGAGGCAGCACCCAGCCTGATCCAGCTCTTCCCCGAAGCCACCTGGGGAGCACTGCCTGGTGGGCGTCCAGTGGGCAGGCTTGGGGAACAGCTGGATCGAGCCAGGTGTTGCCTCTGAGCTGGGGCAGCACCCAGCCCTCCTAGCAGCCCACTTGGGTGGAGAAAAGGACCACCCCCCCAGCAGCTCAGGGGCCACTTGGCCCACCTGCAGCTGCCCGCTAGCTGCGGGAAGGATCCAGCTCTGACAAAAGTAAAAAAAAAGGATTGGGCCCCTGGCTGTAATGTGGTGGAAAAACTGAAATGGCGGGTTTCCCACCATTTCAATTTAGGGGGCATAAAATAAAACCTTCGGGATTAAACCCCCATCATGTGTACAAGCACCTCCATAGGCTGAGCCCTTTTGACAGTTTGACTTTTATTCTGGGGGCTAAACAGGAGCTGAGCTCTTTTAAAAGTCTGGTCACAAACCATTTGTATTAATCCCCTGCTTCTAATACTTCAACTCTTTATTCTGCGCATTGTCAGATATTATTCGGACAATTGCTTGGGATTCTTAGCACCATTACATACTATACAAGCTTTGATACTTTTTAGTGCTCACATGGATAACAAGATCAATTGCTTATATTAGTCAGAAAAAAAAAATCAAGATAGCCTTGAGAATAGCATACCTTAAGAAAATGAGCTTTAAAATCAAAAGAAAGTGGGAAAACCTTCCGCTAGCACTGCAGTAACTTCAGTTCAATTATGCACATATAACAATATTTGCAGAAACAGTTTCCTGCTACAAATATGGTTATGGAAACATGTTGCTAGGCGGAAGAGTAAAAAAGCTGGATATTAGGCTATTTACAGCCAAGCACTGGGTAGACACATGCACAGAGTTTGGATTAAGATCATAAGCCAAGTTATTTTCACTGGAGGACAGTGTAAATTAGACTTGAATCAAGCTCATATCAGTGTCTTAAGAAAAATTAAATAAGAGAGAACAAAACCCTGAATTCATCTGCAAGATTTTTTATTAGTTTATAAAATTGGTGTTATTGTATCATTTTCACTGGGGTTTGATTCAGTAAAGTACTTAAGCTCCTGTTAGACTCCATCTCTACTCAAGGAAGTGCTTTGTTTCAATGAGACTTTTAAGCACTTGTTTAGAGCTGAACTTGAGCGTATGTGCTAACTTAGCTAAGAATGCTCTCTCGCACTGGGACAGCCAGCATCTGTCTATTCTACCTAAAACCTGGGCTGATGCAGGAAAGGATTTTAGAAAAACATGAATACGGAACGAAGCCACCCTCCTCCAGGTTCTGATCAGCCACAAGGTTGTAGTCAACATCCGCTCAGCCGCTAGATGACATAGAAGACCATTTAAATGGGGTGAGGCAATTTCCTTTTCATTTTGGTCTCTCTACAACAGCGATGCTCATGGGCCAGATGAGTGGTGTGGGACTCATCTGTGGGTCAGATTGAGCCCCATGTGCCAGGATCAGATCCCAGAGTCCAGCACCACCCTCCCCCTGCTCCATGTGCTGGGATTGGGCCCCTGGGGTCCAGCACCACCCGTAGATTGGGCCCCAGGGGTTTCCACCCCTGAATGCTGAGATTGTGGCCTGGGACCTGGCACTGCTCCCATTCGGTTCTCCACGCTGGGATCAGGCACCCAATCCAGTGTGTGGGGCCCAGGGCTCCCCATGGGTCTGGAAATTTGGCTATAGCTATAGCAGTTCCAGCATTCGCCCACTACCAAATTTCAGGACTCGTGGGGAGCCCCATGGACTGGATGCACAGAGCTGCAAACCGGATTTGGCCCGTAGGCTAGGGGTTGAGCACTCCTGCTCTGGAATAAATACCTGATAAACCTAATTTAAAAATCAACAAATTACTTCTACTTTTGTTCACTTATTCTTTCACTCTGCCCTTCCCTCCCTCCCCTTGAAAGGCACATCTGAGTATGCATCTGGGTTGTGGGTTATATGGGAAACTTGCCTTTATATCAGTTCCACTTGAGTCAAAAGATGAGGCTCTCTACTAATAGATCTCTTACCCATATTTACATTGGCAGTAATAAATTAGTCTGCATCTTCTTTCGTATGGTGTCAGATATCAGCTTCCAAATCTGAGCCACTGTCTGGTGTTATCACTCAATGTGCAAATTCCATCTATGCTGTCTGGGCATTGGTAGAGATTGCAGCTTTCAATTAAGTGCTGTGCTGTTTGTTGGACACCGCGCTCACAAAGGGGGCTATCCAAGGTGTTCATCTTGTGAAGTGATGTTCTGAAGCACCTATATCCAGATCTCAGTTTGCTCAGCTTGACCCACGCTTCTCTGTCAAGATCATGCCCAATGGGGGAGCCATTTGGTATTGGTATAAAATGCTGTAGGAGTAGGTCTGACCTTTACCAGAGGTTGGCTCACTGCACTGCTGCCCATAGGTTTGGCTTAGCTTTCCCAGTCTCTTCTAGATTGCTTGGGTCTTCAGTTAACAGCTGATTTTCATCACCTCTTGCTTCTATTGCCAGTAATAAAGTTAGGATCATCTTGTGAAGTGTTGTTATATCTTATATCATTTGGTCTAATATATACAGGGAGTATATCTGTGTGTGTAAGTTGTGCAGCCTATTATGAGTCTCAGTGCACTGCTAAGTACAATGTTGAGCTTTTTAGTGTGACAACTTCTGGACCATATAGGAGCACATTATTTTGCTGGGACATCTACTATTGCAAGTGCGGTGGTTCTGAGCACTTTGAAGTTAGAATCTCGTGTCACAGAATCATAGAAAATTAGTGTTAGACGGGAACTCGGGAGGTCCAACCCCTGCTCAAAGCAGGACTATTCCCAACTAGATCATCCCAGCCAAGGCTTTGTCTAGCTGGGTCTTAAAAACCTCCCAGGATGGAAAGCCCAAAACCTCTCTGGGTAACCTGTTCCAGTGGTTTACTGCCCTCCTAGTGAGAAAATTCTTCCTAATATCTAACCTAAACCTCCCTTGTTGCAACCTGAGACCTACTCCTTGTTTTGTCATCTGCCTCCACTGACAACAGTCCAGCTTCATCCTCTTTGTAACTCACCTTCAGGTAGTTAAAAGCTGCTATTAAATCCCTGCTTCAGTCTTCTCTTCTGCAGACCAAATAAGCCCAGTTCCCTCATAAGTCACGTCCCCCAGGCCCTGAACCATTTTGGTTGCCATCCACTGGACTCTCTCCAATTTGTCTACATCCTTTCTGTAGTGGGAGGCTCAAAACTGAACACAGGACTCCAGATGTGGTCTCACCAGTGCTGAATAGAGGGGAATAATCACTTCCTTTGACCTGCTAGCAACACTCCTACTGTGGCAGAGCCAGGGGAAAGAGAAGGGAAGAAACCCTGCTCACTACTTCGCTCCACCCAGTTGAGCCCGGGGACTTACCTTACATTCAGTTCTAGCATAGGACCACAAGAGCCAGGACGATGGCTTCAGTCATCCCCAGCGGAGAGGGGATGATCAACTGAGCTGGAAGCCAGCATCAGAAGTATCTGCCAGCTCAAGTCTGCAGTTTATTCAGGGGTGTGTTCATGGCTCCTGTGATGCCTCCCAGGTGAGGCAGGAGCCAGCTGATCCAAAGCAGTTCTTCCTTGTCATGGGAGAGATCGGCTCCAGCTGTGTGGTAGAGGCAGCTGGCGACTGATCCAGAGAACCAGCCATGAGCCTGAAAGACTCCTGAGAAGTGGGAGAGGGCAGCTAGCTGATAGAGGAGTATGCCAGACAATGGATGGGTGAGAAGCAGCCTGTCTGCTCACTATTTTTCATATGAGTAAGGAATGGACTTTTGGGGATACCACGAGCCAAATCCAGCACCTTCAGCCATGCCACCAGGTGCAGACCTGACTATAATTAATTATAGACTTAGAAGTATGTAGCAGGAGCATAGGGGCAGAGGAGCACCCAAACGTGGCCCCTAAGGTCAGATGACCAGGTAACAAAACACACATGAGACAAGCTAAGAGGGGTGTGGGAAAGTCTGTCCCATTCTGAAGGAAACTGTTTCTGCTATTAGCTTATATCTTCCTATTATCATTACATCCAAGCCATGCCAAGTGAGGCTGAGTAAGGACAGAGGCAGTCTCCCCTCGGAGACAGGAGGGGCAAAACCCACTGCTCCCAACAAGATACTTTAAAGTACCTAGACACCGAGCCCTGTGAGCATCTCTCTCTGGTGTGACCGAGGCTTGGTGACACCTACCAATGCAGCTCAGTATGCCATTAGCCTTCTTGGCAACAAGGACACACTGCTGGCTCACATCCAGCTTATTGTTCACTGTCACCCCCAGGTCCTTTTCCGTAGAGCTGCTGCCCAGCCACTCAGCCGCCAGCCTGTATTGGTGCATAGGATTGTTCCATCCTAAGTTTAAGACTTCGCACTTGTCCTTATTGATCCTCATGAGATTTCTTTTGGTTCAATCCTCCAATTTGTCAAGGTCACTCTGAATCTTAGCCCTATCCTCCAGCATATCTACTACTCCCCCCAGCTTGGTGTCATCTGCAGACTTGCTGAGGGTGCAATCCATCCCATCTTCCAGGTCACTGATGAAGATTTTGAACAAAACTGGCCCTAAGACTGACAGTTGGGGCACTCCACTTGATACCCACTGCCAACTAGATGTTGAACCATTGATTACTAACCTCTGAGCTGGATGCTCCAGCCAGTTTTCTATTCACCTTACAGTCCGTTCACCCAGCCCATACTTCTTTATCTTGCCTGTGAGAATGTTGTAGGAGACCATAGCAAAGCCTTGCGAAAATCAAGGTATACTTCATCCACATCCATGTCGTGCTAGCTAAACATCGTAAGGCAGCTACCCTTGCAGAGACTTTACTGCTGACCTTCGGGATGTGAAGTTTATAGGTGAGGGAATGGTTTAATGTGACTCCTGGGTAGGTTGGGGTATGCTAATGGGGAAGGATGTGGTTGCCTACTCTGATATTCAGCATGCTTGTGGCTTAACGATTCTCCAGGTGGAAGGGTGATGCTCAGTTTTAAGCACCGGTTGTGGAGACAGTTAACCATGAGATCCTTGTTAGTACTCAGTGTTTTTTGCAGTTCTGCCATGTCTACGCCTTGGGTTACTATGGTGACACTGTCAGCGTACGCGTATCGCTTCAATGATGTATATGAGAAGTCTGAGGTATATACATTGAAAAGTATATATTGACCCTTGGGGGACTCCGTTCTTCAGAGTTCATACTCTGCTTTTTTCTCCTTGGTTGGCAGTGAGTTTGAATGGTCTGCTGGAGATCAAGTTCATGATGAAAGTGTATAGCTTGCAGTCATGACTACTTTCTCATGGTGCCTCCCATGAGTAGCTGTAAAGCAATACGAAAAGTCACAACCAAAGCAATCAGGCTTTTGATTTTCCAATTATTCTGCTAATCTAGCCTTTGTTGTCTCTTAAATAAAAAAGTATGGCATATGAAATTCCTGCTGGTATCTGGTGCTCTTTATGTAGAGCTAAACTTCAGCAGTGAATCACTGAATGTGGAACAAAACGATATAACTAGCGCTTGAAACTATTTCTGGCTCTGAAAATCAAACACGGCCACTTTCTAAACTTAAATACTATAACGAGAGTAACAGGGATTTATTACAAAATGTGCATTATATATGGGGTCAGCTGATGTCACCGCAGCTGACTTCCTCTCATTGCTTTGAGTAATCTATATTTGATACAGTAGGGCTTGGCTGAGTTACAATGAAATGTAAGTAGGTCAAATGACTTTTGAACTACAATACTTTTACTTCTGCATTTTTCAACAAGCCGCCACAGGGACCTTGTTTTACTTTAAGAAACTGCAGATGTCAACACGGTGACAAAACCTCTTGCAGCTAATGGATAATGCCACCTAGTGGCAATATCGACAAGTATAGAAATAATGAGTCTTATCTACATATCCAGGCTGCGTTAGATGGCCTAATTACATTCCAGACAGCTGACAGTTTTAATGCTGAATTAAAAATAAAGAGAAAGAGTAGTGATGTTACCTTTTCCCATTCTCCACTTCACAAAGATCTTCCAGAACGTGGGTCTATCTAATGTAACGTTGAAGTGAAATTGTAGCCATGATGGCCCAGGAAATACGAGGCAAAATTTTTTGTGGGTGAAATGAGATATCACACAAATTCTTGTCACTTTCCATCTCGAGGACACTTTGTTCTCAAAATTAAATTAATAAACTTTGATCTCAATGGACTTTTACTAAGTATGAATGTTAAGTGGATGGTTGTGAAATGGGCTTTGAACATCTTATGTTTATTTATTATTTTCCTGATTTAAAAGTTAGTGGGGGAGAGGGTTCGGTCAAGAGACTGAGGGATATCTCCAGGTTCGTGAAAGAAAGAACTCAGAGGAATTGTTTAATTTGACTTACTGAAAAGAATAAGCTATAATTCTCCTGGGGAATCTGAGAATAAACAACCTTCATATTTATAGTGGGAAGAAAGGTCATACGTGTACGTGGGCATTCAGAGAACGTAGTCAGATGGGAGACTGTCAGAGAGGAGCTTAAAAAAATCAAATGCATGCAATACAAGGGAAAAAAATTGTGATGCACTTATTATGGCAGAGGCATAGGCCAGAAGAAACTATTCATGCTGAATAGTAAAATACTCTATTAATAGAAATGTTGAAGTCAATAGCAAAAGGTGCTATCCAACACAAGTAAGCTCTCCAGAGCTGGTCCTTGGTAAAACTGTCATGCCTGCCTTGCACGGCTGAACTAATCCATTCTAAATCCTGATTTTAGCTTTGGCTCTAAACCTCTGCCAATTTATTCCGATTTTTTTTAAAGTTCATTAATTAAAAGCTATCCTCACAGGTACATACCCCATGATGTTTTCACATTTAATTAAACGAAATTAAGTGTAAACTAATCCAGAAATTAGATTCGGTGCGTGAGTGTTGTCTTCATAGGTCACACTCTCCATGTTATCTGCTTGCATCCATAGATGCTTCTCAAGCAAATCCCGGGACATCATTCTCCCCTTGTACATAGCCTAGGTGAGGCCATAGCTGCATCCAGTTTTGGGTTCCACAATTCAAAAAGGATGTGGAGAAGCTTGAGAGAGTCCAGAGAAGAGCCATGCACATGATCAGAGGTCAGGAAAACAGACCTTATGATGACAGGCTGAGAGCCGTGGGGCCCTTTAGCCTGGAAAAGCGCAGGCTCAGGGGTGATCTGATGGCCACCTGTAAGTTTATCGGGGTGACCACCAGGATCTGGGGGAACATTTGTTCACCAGAGCGCCCCAAGGGATGACGAGGTCGAACAGTCATAAACTACTGTGAGACCATTTCAGGCTGGACATAAAGAAGAATTTCTTTACTGTCCGAGTCCCCAAGGTCTGGAACAGCCTGCCATTGGAGGTGGTTCAAGCACCTACACTGAACACCTTCACGGGTAAATTGGATGCTTATCTTGCTGGGATCCTACGACCTCAACTGACTTCCTGTCCTTCGGGCGGGGGGCTGGACTCGATGATCTTCTGAGGTCCCTTGCAGCCCTAATGTCTATGAATCATTTGTGATGTTGTTTGCTGGGTTTTTTCCTTCTAGATTTTAAAAAGGATGCCATGTTTAGACTTCCTAAGGACACATTGGAAAGAGGGGAAAAGAGCACCTCAGTGGAACCAGAAACACAGAACTTAGTAAGAAAGATGGTAAGTATATATCTTAAAGGAAAGATGCGTTCAATCGGTGCACTGCATGCATGTCTGAATGCAAATCCTCGCTCCCTACAGAAAGTTTAAGTGTATGGGCCAAGATAGTACTGATGTGTGATAGAGTTTAAAATAAGAGCCAAGGTGTCTTTCAAGCCATTGTAAATGGCAGAATCTATTTGTTGCTGAGTAGCAATTACATCTGAGGGGCCAAAGACTGATCACTGAGGTATATTGCCCAGGGAGGTTCTTTTTGGTTTCCACAAAAACAGAAAACAAGACATCTCCTACATCAAGGATTACTTAGGATCTTTTCTTTCTCCCATCCTGTATTGTCAGGTTGATGAAACGATACACAACCCACTATTGTCGAGTAGTCCTGAAGTTTGCTGGAACCCCACTCCTGCCGTAGCCACTGCTGAACCCTGAAGCAACCTCACCAGGGTGTCAACTGCTGGCAAAACTCTAAACCAAGTGTCTTTAGATGTCCCTGCCCCTGCTGTAAAACAAAATGTGTGTGCAGGATGGGGCTGGTCTCAGCAGCCACCTGAAATAAGGGATAATCTCTGGAAAGGCCATACCTAGTTCTGCTCTTCTTGGAACGGCTGACATCTCTTGTTACAATAAACAGAAAATGTATTTGCCACATTTGAATAAACTCTTCTGTGCTGTTGCCAGGTTAATGTCTTATTTAGCACAAAAAGGAATTCTTTTCTATGAGGAAATATAAAGAAAAGAGTGCACTGTAAAGAGACTGGCTCATCCCAAGCATTTATCTTCAGCCTTTCCCCATATTTATAGTATTTGCATATTTGAGCATGCAGTAGGATAAAAACATTTGCTATTCCATTTGGTTCTTTCAGATGGCTCAGTTACAGTTAGACCTCGCTAGACCTGCTAAGGAAAACCAAAGGAGCCACCTGGACTGGAGCTGAGGAGGACTGGAAGATGTATTTGGATGGTGCATAGCAGCTCTATTTCAAATATTAAGATCATATGTGCAGCTAAAATCTTTATGGATTCCCTTACCTCAGCTGCACCCGGTTCTTGCATAAATTTCAGCTTGCTTAGTTCAAATAAGTCTTCGAGAACAGGTACTATCCTGTTTACACAGATTATATGCCTATCAACTCCAGGGTGCATCTTTATTTTTGGTTGTTGCCATAGTGGGATCACCTTCATTGTATCCGGTGCTGTATACTAGGGCTGTGGAAAGCTTCGGTAGCTGATTCGATTTAGAAGAGACTTGGCCCGATTCAGCAGCCGACTCTCCAAATCTGAATCGAATCAGCAGACCCATTAATTTCTCCAAATTGCATTGGAAGCCTCCGATTCCATTTGGAGAGATTCAGAGAGATTCAACCATAGACACAGCTTTATATGTTTTTTCTACATATCTCAAGGTACCAGGCGCAGCTCATGAACGCCGAGATGGTGGGGCAGATGGAGCATGCCATGGGAGCGTGGGGGGCAGTCCCCCATGCATTCAGTGGTGGATCCAGAATTGGACCAGAAGTAGATTCATAGATTCATAGATTAAGGGTCGGAAGGG